TACCCACCTGTTTCATTGTTCTTCAATGTTGGTGATTATCTTGCCTTCCTTGCTTTTCACTGGTCGTTCTGGTTTACGGTGATCTACAGAGAGTTTCGTTGTTGTGTCATAGGATTGTCGTATGTTTCCTTCTCTTGAAGCCTTTTCCACCGTCACTGCTAAGTCTTTCACATATTTACGTTTGTCGGTTTTGATGCTCCTCTTCACTTGCTTGTTTACTTCTGTGTATTCAGCTTGTGCCTTGGCTTTTTCTGCTCTTGTTCGGCTGGTATTAATTGCTGTCTTCTTTAATCCTATCCAGTGTATTGAACGTGATCCATTCCTTGTGATGGTGCTTCTTGTGGTTCAGAACCTCATGACATGTTGAAGTGATTGCCTCTTTTATCTCTTTCCAGTTGCTCTCCATAGTAGTTCCTTCTCCATTGAGTAGATCATGGAAGGCATGGAACTTATTGCTGAGGACTATCTTGAATTTGTTCAGTTTGTCAGTATCCCGAAGAAGAGCCGTGTCAAACTTTTGTGATATTGTCCGCCCCGTTGTCCAGTGCTTCTTGAGCTTCAATTCCATCTTGGCGACGAGCAAGTGACGGTCTGATGCTATATCAGCTCCTCTCTTGGCTTTGATGATCCCTGGTTCATGTGATTTTCATCCTCTAAGTGCATTTTGTGCTTGTTTGAACAGCATCAATGCAACTCCTTGTGAATGTGGTGCAATTTCTTCATCATGTCCGGAGTATAACAGCAGCTCCCCTGAAGCTAGTCGTTGTTATCCAACTTGCGTCCAATGTGTTTCACTGATCACAAGCACCTCTAGGTTTTATCTCCTCTCTTCTGCAGCAATTTGGAAGACTCTCTCAGTCTCCCACTCTATACGAGCGTTCCACGTACCTTAATAAATGGTTGCTCAGGTTGTCAGAAGGGGCATCAAATTCGTGGCTTCCGAGGTAACTCGTCCTTCATCATCAGGCGTCATAACTCTTCTAAATGAAGACCTTCTCACTCCCAGAGCAGAATTTAAATGGTCTGAATAATTTTCCTGGTTAGCATTTTTTTAGCTAGTTAGTTTTCTACGGATGAGGTCCCTAACTCTATGCCCAACCTTCTTCTTTTATCCGGGCTTCGGACCGGCAGTAGCTTCATAGGGGCTACAGATGAAATTACAGACCTAAGAGCACTATTCAATAATAATGCGGATCAAACTCCTAATGTAATGTAGAACGGTCTAAAAGAATGCTTTAGCGTCGCTATAATCTTTGGCCACATGCAGTAACCAGTAAAAGTAGAAGCACAGAGGACTGAGATAGAACTTAATGATAATACATTCGCAAATAACAATGTTTTAAATAAGGAATTCCACTTTACAGGCAGCATCTAATTTTTACAAGTGCTACAGGTTTTGCTTTTGCTAGTTACTCAGCTAGGTTGATTTGTTATAAGCTACATCTGTCTTAGAAAACAGAGGATACATTGTCACACATTAAAATATTGATGTTAGCAAGACTCTAATATTCAATCTAAGAGTTAGCGTTTTGTGGAAGTTGAGTTGTGACAAGACACCGGTGGTTGAGAATGAATGTACTTATAGTCTAGGGCTGTTCATAAAGATAGGTCATGTAGTAAACGCATAGTCAGTCAGAAACATCAAATTTAACGCGTTGCCTTGTGCTGCATGGTAGTGTTCCCAGGTAAAACAGAGTTATTAGTGAGACGCAGGATGAAGTCATATGTTCCATATGTTTTCAGTAGTATACCACGAGTGTGCCGAAAAAGAGGGCGAGTAGTAGAACAGATAATGTTCATGACTTGTGAAGTTTGGTTATTTGTTATGAAATGTTTAAGACATGACTACTTGGACTTGTACTCTTTTGTTAGGTCGATTTGCAAGCATGTACATTTCAAGAGGTTAAAGAAAACAAGCCAAATTAGAATGGATAAGGGATTGTATAAATTGGTGTGGTTCAAAAGAGCTGAAAGTTCAAGATTGTGTGTATATTTAAAACTTAGTAAGGAAAAAAAGTGCTCGGATACCACCTGACATTTTTCATCAAAATTATAACACACTTTATTACCACAACTTTTTTAGCGACATGAGCGGACTCCTGCTTTGCTTGGTTGTCAAGTTTGGCTTGTAATAGGATTTCTCGGTAGGAAGTGAAGCCAATCTAAGTTTGCAGACATGAGTCAAAGAAGCGTTTGGTATGAGAATGTGGCATCACTATCATCGGTTAGTTCCACCTCTCTAGTCCGTAAGAATTAGTAACGTAACAAAACGTTCCTCCCTATGGACATAGAAAGATTGAGGTTATTCCCCCAGTACAATGTTTACTGATTAGTTAAGTCACCCTCCCCATTTTTGTGCTATGTACCAATATCGCTTTGATCTGAGCTCTATGCTGCACACCTGGTTGGAATACACTGTCTCTAATATTCCCATATCACAGCCAAGTCATATAGCTAAAGCTTTCGTTTTGTGGACTAGGTATTGATTTAGCATATCACCCTGCTATGAAGTTAAATAATGGTATGAGTTATAAGATATTGGTCAGATGAAATGTGGTTTACAGATTATAATGACAAATATCTAATCAGAGGATATGGAAGAAGGGTTTAAGGTTGCAAAATTATGAGCAAGACGAATAATAAGTAAAGAAACTAAACACTCAAGGCTGATTAGTAGGTTTTTCAAACTTGTAGAACATGAGCTAGAGGGTGTAGTGGCATTGGGCCCTACCACGAGACAATGTGAGAAATAGACATTAAACATTTAACGCGGAGAAATACAGAAGAATGGAGAAGGCGGGGAGGAATTGAATAAATTAGAGTGGATGAGATGGCATGGCTCGGCCATGCAGGCGTGGCCCATGCTAAATGTTACGTTATATCTTTTATTCATATTAAATATATTGTTCCATCTCTAGCCTAAGATTGTTCTATAACATGTATTGGTAATTTTTACAACTCAGTGAGTTGGTGTAGATGATGATGTGACTTCCACGTAAGATCTTATAGATCAGGCGGTTACATTATAACAAATCTACAATTTTAGGATTAGGTCTATTATTAGAGCAGTGCTAATATCATAGTAGACCATAATTCTACAAGGGAACTCACAATAACTAAGGATATTCTAAGCTTCTTATGACTGATCATAGTTGAGAAGCACCCATACGATTAGAGAAATATTTGTCTACAAAATGGACAGATAATTCCAGATAATATTCTAGTTATAGCATAAAAATTCAATTTAAGCAATTGTTTGTAAACTCTGAAGTATGATTATTCATAATGTGGGATTATGTTTTGAAGATGCAAGATTGTGGTTCTGTCACATAATTGAAATACATAAATAACTGTACATAAGTGACCATATGTGTTTTAAATTGTTATCATATGGCAAAAATATGCCGTGCATACCTAGATGTTTCTGAAAGGATTTATCTTTAATAATTCTATGAGTAAATAACCCATTCTTCCCCGCGTGAACAATTGTTACGGTTGATAGTGGTTCCTATGGGCAATTTCTGAACGTTTTTGATTTAGCTTTCGAGTTGCATCAAGTTTTATTGGGTCGTGATCCGAGGTATTTCTAAAGCTCAGTGTATACAATACCGTTAACAATTGTGGAAATCAGAAGAAATCTCAAGAAACATGTTTATTTAATAGTTATAAAAAGGGAATGGAGAGTATATAACAAAAGAAAACGAATAAAGCACTGTGTTGGGACTGCAACTTGCAAAATCTGAAACTACATAGGCTATTTGGGGACTAAATATCTGGGGTTTGTGACATGGTCATAAGGAAACATCCGGTTATTTATTCACAAGATAAGATGTTGGATAGCACATCGTTAAGTGTAGCTTGGCCTAGGTAAGCTCCATCGAGGATGTGAGAAACTTCGAAGTGGTCCATAAAGAAGCTTATTGATGATTCAAACGAAGAGAGCATTTGACTTTACGGCATGCTTACTGGTAGCATATCCCAGATGCTTGCGTAGAGCGTGTAAAAGATAGTTGGCTCAATTATATATTTTTAAAATACTCTGACGTTTCGTGACTCAGTGTAAACCATTTATTCAGAGAACAAGTAAACAAATTAAATTAACTAAAATTTAGGTAGCATAAAGAAACGATGCGAGAATATTTGGTGCACTCAATAAAAACATGTCTGACAAATTCAATGTCATGTCATTGCGGTCGAGGTGATTTGAATGAGGCATGATTGTATATTTGTGCAAATGGTAAAAGGCGAAAAAATATGATCTTTGCGACGTGAAATGATAGAGTTGAAATTGTGTATACTATGTGAATAGAGTCAGACATAGTGGCTTGGAGAGATGGTTCAAGTCGGGTAGATAGTGAGGCCTTCTTTTCTACTGAAGGTTTTCAGACTCGAGATCTGACTCCAGTTAGGTCTGAAGAGTGATTGTTATCGAATGATTGCAAATGAAGTAGACATACTAGCTACCCTCGTATACCATCATCTACTTAAATCACGTTGTTGATTAACGAAAGTAAATAAGTCAAAGGCGAGAATGAATTTTTGAACACATTTATTTCGTACGATCGTTGATCGGAAAGAAAAGTAAAACGAAATGACGCGTAGTGGAGAGCATGAATAAGCCAACTCGATTTTTTCGAGCGTTAATCGATATTTATGGTTAGATAAAAATAAGTTACAGATATGTGAAGAATAAGTTAAAAAATGTATAAGCATATACGCCTACATGAAAGTCAAAGTCGATAAGCGAATAATTAAAAGGGTCAAAATGTGATTTAAGAAGAATGAATAGGTTGGTCTATCCAGAAACTACTGTAACTTATGTGAGCTCGACATAAGTCCGGCCACTACAAAGCACAGATTTTAAAATACTTAGTGATAAATCTGCATGTGATATTCCCTCACGTCCTTTAACTTCAAATAGAGAATTTACAAGGACACTCTAAAACTTCACAAGCCTACAACAAATTACTTGTTGATTTTAAAAGTAAAATATTGGGCACAGAATAAAGAGGGAGGTTTGTTCTGGCAAGGTCATTCGTTAATTTTCTACATTTAAGTGCAATGCTAACATCTTCGATCTCATTTTGGATCTTGGAAGTCACAAATACCAAAAGCAACCTAGTTGTTTAGATTCTCTACAATTACTTTCTATCCTTCAAATTGCAGAGACACCAAGATTCAATCCCTCCAATTGCAGAGGACACATCAGGCTTTGAAGCTTGTACAAGTAGCACTGCTGAAGTTTCTCGTTCATTTGGGGTCGCCTCTTCCTCGGAAGAGCCAGAACGCTTCTACAATGTGGGGGATGGACAGCGTTTTCTGAAGAGGTGGCCCTCTACGCCCCAACCAGGCACTCGTGTTTGGATAAGGTATGGTGGCACAGTGTGTTATGGACAAGTAGTGCATTGTATGCCTGAACTTAATATGTTCACTGTACGACCAGCTGATGGTGGCTCTAGGCTTGTCACTCGTGGTCTAGAAGATATCCTACCTTCTACACCTCAACAGTCAATCTTAACTCCACCGACAGAAGACGAATGGGATAGTGACTTGATTGGATGTGATGAAATTCCCCCAAATCCGCACAGTATTACAGCTTTCCCCACTAAATGCGAGGCCACTATTTCGGACTCCTTTTCTTACCCATTATTCATCGATGTACCATCTAGGTGAGTGTCCCACCTGATTGATCATTTTTTGTAATCATTTAAGTAAGTGAATCTAATAAACCCAGTTTGTAGCGATCCCTATCCGGTACAATTCTAGTGGCTAATATTTTAGACTAATTTAACTGATGACCTAATAACACTAAAATCTTGTCTGCCAAATCTTGAGACCTGGTAAAATTGTACAATAGCCTAATTTATCACACAGTTTCACTATCTCTAAAGATTATTACCATGATATATAGGAAGGCGTCAAAAGCCATATAATAGTAAAAGATTGGACGTACATAATGTAGTTCGAAGAGAAGAAACTAATTCCAGGAATATGGGCGAAAGACAAATCAATGATAACTACTCTGGCCTTATTATTGCGTGATGCATATGTATTTAGTGCCCCCAGGAATGAAAAGTATGAAATGATTCTGAAATTCAAGATTTATAAGGTAGCAGACAAATTTATCAACGCATTGCTACTGATTACGGGTTATTTCGGCTTGGACGCTAAAAATTGGTCACAAGTGTCCCGTAAAATCCAAACAGTTCATATTCACCGTGATAAATCAGACCGACAGTGATTATGTAAATTGATGTAGTGCCTCAGTACTTGGACTAGTCATTTAGATGGATTAATGTCCGAATTTTCTGGAACAATGTTTATTAGTGGTAACACTAGCCCACCTTATACTCCCTGGTGGATAGCAACTGCTTTCAATTCTCATAATTCCTATTAATTTGTCAGTAATCAAATGACATAATGTACCTTCGGATTATAACACAGATCATGGTCTCATTCATCATAAATTAATTCTTGAATTAAATCAAATAGTACCAATATTATTGGGTTTGTTCTTAAATCCTTATTTTCCTAGTATAACTTCGTAATCAAGCGTAAGTCCTCAAACTTGACTAACAGCCTTCTATCTTGCACTAGGGGTAATCATTTAGCTACTTAAACTAAGCGAAGTTGATATTCAGACACAAAATTCTATGACTCAGATTGTCCTCAAATATATGGTTCTACTCTACCACATTTTTGCTCCATTGTGAATTTCCTTCATTAAGTTCGTTGTAGATTATGATAAATCCGACCAATATGCAAATGTATCATATTTATGTTACTAGTGTATGTCTATTTTTAAACTACCTCCAACCTTATGATACTGTTTTTCCTGTTTGTCTACGTAGTCGTTTCGTTGATATTGCTCATCTCCTGTACTAGCTTTGTTCTTCCGGCATTGATTTTGTATTCACTATTTATTTTAGAGCATCTATTGATGAGGGATCATCTTTTGAAAAAATGACTACTTTGTCTGGTCTGCCATCAAACTCTACAGCGTCATTCGGTCTTTCACCGATTCTGGGCTCCTCAGATGTAACTGATGTAAATATCCCTAGAGAATCCGCAGGACATTTCGATGTTTCGTCTCATAGGACATTTGCTGATAATAATCCCTACCCTCATAAGTCAACACTTGGTACCAGTCTCCCTTCTCGTGGGTCCATGGATCCCTCATCTGTAACACATCTGGTGACTCAGAGGGTAGGTTCCTCGAACAGTGATAACTGCTTTCACAAACGTTGGGAAACGTTTTCTTCCCAACCAGAGCTATCTTATAAAGGACTGGTAAAAACACATGATTTAGACTCACCTCTTGAAGTCAAGCGAACCTCCGTTCCATCTCAAACCACAAGTTTCCGAAATCAAACCTCAACAGATTATGTGATTGAAGCTGTTTTGCACTGGATTGAGTCTATTTCTCCTAATACAACATCTGAATGTGAGTTTCAGATTGCATGATACATTTTTAAATCTATCTTTATATGTAGTACAGTATATTAACCACCTGGTAAATGTTATGTTATTCATCTGTTCAAGGAACATATTAGGTTTTATTCCACTCGTCAGTAACAGTCAATTCGTTCTCGTACACATCATCCAATACCAATTTACCTAACATCAGTCTCACTATAGCTTAGAAGCACTCAACATGCAATGACTGTCTGATACTTTTCTCGTTTATTCTAAGCATTTATTAATAACTAGTAATGTCAAAATTCTTTCCATTTTCCAAATCACCAGAATCACTGCCATTGTCGTTGTATCATACCAGATACTACTGCGACTCCAGTACTTTTGTCCCTGAATGTTATATCAATTTGAGTCACAAAATTTAATTTGAGCATCTCAATCCTTGTTCAACCAACTTAAACAATATTCCAAATCCTACTTTGAGTTGCTGCTGAGGAGGAAAATCTTGAACGAAATCTTTTATTTTGCATTTACTGCTCGCGGTTATTGATTAGCATCTTAGTCATTTTACATTTAAACTGTCTTGAATTTTCATGCTTTTTTCATGGCAAACCGTAATAATCACTTAGTTCTGACGAAACTTCGAAAATTAACTGACTACAGATAACCTTCAGCTACGAGTCGATATCTTTATCAATGCATCTACAGTGAATTGAATGTTGCACTGTATGGCGGTGTTCTAACATTTGGCGGAGGGTGAAGATATGATCAATGCATCCTTGACCAGAATGAAAGCCAGCCTGCTCCTCGCGAGCCAATCTTTCTCGGGTTTTGAACAACCTACGAAGTATAACTTAAACCAATAGCTTGGATGCAATCGGAAATAGACGTATCCCCCGATAGTTGTTACAGGAACGACATGAACCCTTTTTAAAGATAGGGACAACTATCAACTCATTCCATGACGTTGGTACACTCTCTAGTTCCCAGACCTTTGCAAACAACGTCGTCAGTCCCTTAGTCAGAAAGTCACCACCATCTTTAAAAAGAACCGGGGGTAAGTCGTCTGGACCCGGTGATTTGTAACGTTTCAAGAGTTGGAGTTCCTTGCGGACTTCCGCCTCATTTGGCGGATCAGTCGTCACCGGTCATGGAGAGCAGGACAGTCTGACCGATGTTGCCGGAGCAGCAGGCCAGTTAAACTGCCCTTCAAAGAATTCTGCCCATTGCCCAAGACGTCGATGGATGTTGGTGATTGGCAACCCGTCATCCTCGCAGATTGTTTCGCTCACATCAGACTTCTTGCTGCCAGTGGCTCGGATGAGTTGGAAGAGCTTCCGGTAATTACCAAATGCACCTGCTGCTTCCAGCTCATTAGCACGCTCCGACGACCAGGCTTCTCGGTCCTTACGCAAGCTTTGCCCGATTTCATTACGCAACATCCTTCGTTTGTGGTCAAACTCACGGTCACCCGGAGTAAACCGACGGGCTTCAATGAGTTGTAAGGAACCAGAAGAAACCCAGTGCTTATGAGCGGGACGTTTCTCGAACCCACAACAGACTGTACCCGCCATTTTCATGGCGTCATGCAATTGCAACCAATACTCATCTATACTTTCCGATGGAATGGTAACTAGCCTAGAAGCTAGCTCGGTTCGGTACTTACTCGCAACAGAAGTTACAACCAGCTTGCTAACATCAATCCTGTGGTGGCGGTCACTTCGTTGTCCACTGAAAAGTAAGGTAAGATTGGCGCAGACCAGAGCATGATCAGATTCCAGATAGGTACTCCAAAAGGAGCGGCAGTCTTGTACACAACCACGCCAGTGGTAGCTGATCGCGATGTGATCAATCTGAGTCCAGGCTTGAGACGCAGAGAAAGGACGCCAGGTGGCACATCGGCGATGACGGTGCCGACAGTTAGTGCTAGCCAGAAACAGGTCGTGGTCTGTGCATAGTTGCAGTAGACGTTCCCCGTTATCTGTCCTGCTACCAACAAGTCCCCATAGGCCACCTAAACGACTCTCTTTTGTGCCTAGACGCCCGACCTGAGCATTCAAGTCTCCAGCTAGTACTACAATATCTGCCGAACGCACTTTCTGGAGAACAGTTAACTGGTGGTAGAACTCCTTAATTGCATCCGGACTGCAATCTGTCGGGGCATAGGCGGAGATGACGAAAAGAGATCGTTTCTCACGCTGATTTCTTTTCACTTTGATGGTACTTTCTAATTTAACAGCACACAACTGACATGTAATGGAGATCCAATCGATTAGTGCTGCCTCAGCTCTAGCGCTTAGTGCGACACCAACGCCAGAAAGACCAGACGAAGATGCCACAGGGTGCCCGGATAAACGCACGTAAAACAAGCTTTTTGAAGTGACAGATGGAGAGCGAATTTGTAGCACTTCACTAGAGTCTTGAATACGGGTCTCGGATAGACAACACACGTCAATATTAAAACTTCCCAAAGACATAGCCAGCTCTATCTGTTGTCCGACCTGCATAAGTGTGCGAACGTTAAAGGCAGCCAGTTTGAATGGTGCGCGTGGTTTCAGAAAAACTGTTTCAGTACTCTTATTCGATGGTAACATACAATTTTCAACCAGGCAGTGACACGAGAATGTTTAGATAGAGCCGAATGTCCACCATAGGCGAGCTGCTGTATAAGTCGAAAAATAAGGATAGACAGAGAGTGAATAAATGACAGTAAATAATAATAATAATAATAATAATAATAATAATAATAATGATAATAATAATAATAATATGAATTGTCTGACGGTGTCCTCCCAAATTCTAATCTTCTGAATTCTTCATGTCCTTTATTTTCTTTCAAAGTCTATTCCACTGGATTATACTCCTTAAATAACGTCATCAAACACTAATGTTCCCTATCACTACTTATACTTTCACTACCTCTACCACTACGGGATTTGAATCGATAACTGAATCCCTGTGCTAATGTGGTATGACAACTCGAACTGATGTACGTACGTACGTATGAAGTTCCACGATGTTACTGACTGAGATATTTAATGTGTAGATATGTTTAAATTGGTTCATACGCCATTTGTTCCCGCAGGATACTGGGGCCCATGTGCACCATTGGTTTGGGATCCGGTTATAGCGCCGGACGTTCGCTTTTCGTCCTCTCATTTTCGTAAACAACACCCCCGCCACGAGAAGGCAGTGAGTAGGACTTCCCTGGCAGAGGCTGTATACGCGTGGCCGTGTGAGAGTATTTCAGGAGGGAGGGCGAACCCACCCCACTCTCGGCCATACCAGGGCATTTCGGGGCACTGTACCGAATCAAGACTATAGTCGTTTTTATTGTTCATTAACTTTATCTGCTTGTTAAAAGTATCAATTTGTTTCAAGTATTTTTCTGCTTACTGCTTTCAGCTAGCACTTGGGAGAAAGTAGACATAAATGAACTCAAAGAAACTATGAAAACATTATTGGCATCATCAAATACATTTGAAGGGGATTATGTTCAAGACTATTCTGAAGATCGCCCTCAACCATCTGTGTACTCTCCATCATGTTTTGAACAGGCTCATTTTTCAGTAATTGAGACAAGTTCGGAAACCAGCATGTCTTCACCATCTAGTAATGTTTGTTTATGCCCCAAATCAAGTTTAGTCACAGTGAATAGAGAAACTGTTGTTTCAAATTACCAGTCAACTCGTTTCATGATCAGTGAACCACAGCAGCAGCAACAACAACAAGATGTATCACAGTATTGTTTTCCGAATCCTCCATCTACATGTCCAAAATGTTTCCATCATGTTGGCGCACAAAATTCACTAGAGTTTGTCAGGGATAAGATATCACCCTGTGATTGTAAATCATTTCAAGGGGATTCAAATAACACAAATCCGTTTCATCTTGACCCAATTTTTGAAAATACTTGTGTTTTTTCTCCCAATTTTATCCACTCATCATTGGATCCCAAGAGTGATGTAAGTTTATTACTAATTATTAATGTTAACCGGTATTAATTTGAAAATTCGTCGAAGAATTATGACATTACAAAACCAAACATTTCAGACCTTTATTTTTTTTCTTGACGATTTAAATATTATTGAATTTCAAGTGTAAAATTTCTTAATATGAACTAGTATGGATTTAGATTAATAGATTAATAACTTGTTTATCCATCGTTAAAACAGTATGTATGTCCATTTCACTCCACTTATGTTTTTAAAAAGTCGTGTAATCTACGATCTTAGGAGTGACCGCTCAAGCTTTTCCGTAACAATTAAATTATTTGCAATAATAAGAAATTAGATGTAAATTCGGTACCGCCGTATGAATCTTATTGTGAACTGATCTCCCCTAATTTATTTTTACTTGATTTGAAAAAAGTACCATTAGGTTCATTGTTTGATCTCCATCCACCAAATCTGAATTAATTTTTAGCACTCACCTTTTGACCTAGAATCCAGTCAGTACCGCCCGGTTAAAATTTCATTAGCCACCTTATCAGTAGAAATGGACTCTATATATTATTTCATTCAAAGGTATTTACGAAGACCTTTATTATTTTTTTCTTTGACCTTAAAGTTCTGTCAGCTATATTAGAGTCTCGCCGTACTATCAAATGTGTTATAACTTGTTTGTGTGTGTGTGTGTGTGAGAGAGAGAGAGAGAGCGAATTGGCGATCGACCAAAGATGAGCAAAACACGTAAGAACAGCCTAGAGTTCTGATTGGCCCTGCTTCCCTGTCTATCCCAGCCAGTTGAGTCCAGAACACAAGTCTCAGCCTCTGTGATATGAATCATTATATTACAAACATACTCTGTTTATATACCAAACAAACAGACTACATCGTACCATAAAATAAAAAGTAACATTTGTACAAGATTTGACCTCCAGGAAGTGACACAAATAAATATTGACCAATAGGGAAATGACACCATTTCTCATTCAGGAATAGCATTAGATAATTTCTGGGGTATTTCCTGAATACCCCAACAAAATGCTCTATTAGGTTATGAGGTAAGGTTATTAAAGAAGCCTTCAAGCATTGGATTGTGTCAACAGTGATGGATCCATCTAGTAAGTAGTGTTTGAAGTTAAATTTAATCTAATCGATTGAGGAAGTTTTTAATTGGAACCAAATTCTGAAGTCAGGTGTTTTTAAACATGAATAAATACCACTTCGTTTTATCTAGTAAAATTCGACGTGCGATGTTTACTGGTGTAGGAGTAGGTTGGAAGAAAGCTAGGGGCGGCCAGACCAAAACATGGCACAAGTCCATGAAGTCACTGACAAATGGACTAAGCCATGTTGGTCAGTCAGTAACAACGTGCAAATTCGTACGTACATCAGTTCGAGTTGCCATACCACATTAGCACAGGGATTCAGTTATCGATTCAAATCCCGTAGTGGTAGAGGTAGTGAAAGTATAAGTAGTGATAGGGAACATTAGTGTTTGATGATGTTATTTAAGGAGTATAATCCAGTGGAATAGACTTTGAAAGAAAATAAAGGACATGAAGAATTCAGAAGATTAGAGTTTGAGAGAACACAGAGAGTGGATGCACCTGCGCCATTGCAAACGATTTTGAGCCATGTCATTCAAGATCTCTAACTATCGGTTGCTATCGTCTTGCGGACTCCAACCAGGTAGACTATACCTACCAACATGGCTCAGTCCACTTGTCAGTGACTTCATGGATTTCTGCCATGTTTTGGTCTGGCCGCCCCTAGCTTTCTTCCAACCTACTCCTACACCATAAAACATAGCACGTCGGGGCAGTCGGTGGTCAGGCATGAGCAACACTTGTCCCAGCCATCTTAACTGATTAAGTTTCACTACTTCATCAATTGATTTGCCATCCTTACCTAGTACCCGTTTCCTAACAACTGCATTACTTACTCAGTGGTCCCAGGATATACAAGCGATGTTTCGAAGACATCTATGATAAAATACTAGTAACCTACGAATATCCTCTACTCTTACTGGCCATGTTTCACTGCCATAAAGTAGAACGGAACGAACTACTTCTCAGTAAATACGTCCTTTGGTTGATAGACGGATATCTCGCCTACGCCACAAATGACGCAAGTTGGCAAAAGCTAGTCGAGCCTTCTCTATCCGTGCTGAGATTTCGTCACACACCAGACCACAAGGGCTGATGAGACTACCAAGATAAGTGAAGCGGTCGACACACTCAACTACTTCACTTCCTATCACTAGTTCGGGTGTCGACGCAACCCAATCCTGAAGCAACATTTTGCATTTCGAGGGAGAAAATCGCATCCCGAACGTGCCTGCATTGTTGCTTAGAGTGGTCAGCAGACTCTTCATTTTGTCAGCGTCTTCACTAAATAGGACCATGTCATCGGCATACTCTAAGTCAACAAGTGGATCTCCCGCTAGAAGTTCAACTCCTGGAAATTTAGATGAGGAAAGTGTCATCTCTAAAAGGACGTCAACAACAAAGCTAAACAAAAATGGAGAGAGTGAACAGCCCTGACGAACACTACTTGAGGTAATCAGTTCTGATGACAGTTCGCCATACGCTCTCACTCGACCAGTTGTGTTCGAGTAGAGGGCCTTTATAAGGTTAATGTGCTTCTTTGGTACTCCTTTCAATGACAAACACTGCCATACAACCTCACGATCAACAGAGTCAAATGCCGCCCTAAGGTCGAGAAATACTACAATTGTGGGGCGTCTGAATGTGTGTCTATGTTCTAGGACCTGACGTAGTGTGAATATCTGGTCTATACAACCACGTCCAGGTCAAAAACCAGCCTGGTTTTCTCTAGTCTGCTCTTCACGAGCTTTGGTTAGGCGTCGAAGTATTATTGAAGCTAATATTTTAGACACTATTAGTCAAACTAATTCCTCTGTGATTGTCACAGGAGGACTTTTGTCCTTTCTTATAGACTGGCACAATCAGTGATTGAGACCAGTCAGATGGGATTACGTCCAGTTCCCAGATTCTACCTAGGACCTCAGTCAGTCTCGCTGCTAATACTGGACCACCATCCTTAAAAATCTCAGGGGTAAACCTGTCAGGGCCTTCTGCTCTCCCACGCTTCAGATTTTCTATAGCCTTTTCAACTTCGTAAAGAGTCGGAGGACTTACATCAACTTGCCATTCAGGTCGACTGGAGATCGTGGGAAACCGAAGTATGTCTGAAGGCCAGTTGAACTGATCCCTAAAGTGTTCTGCCCATCGATCCAATCTCCTGGATTGAGAATGAATAATATGTCCATCTTTCTCTGCGATTGTTTCGCTAACAGTTGGGTTCCTAATCCCAGTTTCCTTAACAAGTCTGAACAGTTGCCTACTGTTATCTATTGCCGCTGCCTTTTCCATCTCTCTTGCTTTCGCCACCCACCACTGTTCACGATCTTTGCGTATGCTTCTTGTCAGCTTGCGCTTAAGCTGACTCCGCTCTTCGTTATGTTCAGAGTCAGATGGAATGAGTTTACGAGCATCTATCAGTGCGGTAGATGCTGCTGAGATCCAGTGTTTCTCCCTAACCTTATGGTTTACCGTACTTGCAGACATCACTGCTGTTTCTACGGCTTTTCGGATGTCATTCCACGCTGCTTCGGAGTGGGCATCACTTACATGGCTGTCTAACTGTTTTTCTAGTTGTTCCTGAAATATACTCTTAGCTTGACTATCATTTAGTAGGACCCTAAGGGGTTTCCTTGCAGCATGTTTCCTACGTCCAGTAAGACGTAGACAAATACGCGCTCTCACTAGAGCATGATCTGAGTCTAAGCATGTGCTCCAGAATGAGCGACAGTCTTCTATCGAGCCCCTCCATCGGTGGCTGATAGCGATGTGATCTATTTGGGTCCAACGTTGGGACGAATTAGGGGGTTGCCATGTCAAAAAATGTTTTTCCTTATGCTTAAAGTTAGTGTTTGCAAGAAAAAGGCGATTATCTGAGCATAGCTGCAACAGACGGTCGCCGTTATCTGTTCTTTGAGCCGCGACACCATAAGATCCACCCAGGTGTCTTTCGCTTTCCCTTAGTTTACCTACTTGAGCCATGTTGGTAGGTATAGTCTACCTGGTTGGAGTCCGCAAGACGATAGCAACCGATAGTTAGAGATCTTGAATGACATGGCTCAAAATCGTTTGCAATGGCGCAGATGCATCCACTCTCTGTGTTCTCTCAAACTCTAATCTTCTGAATTCTTCATGTCCTTTATTTTCTTTCAAAGTCTATTCCACTGGATTATACTCCTTAAATAACATCATCAAACACTAATGTTCCCTATCACTACTTATACTTTCACTACCTCTACCACTACGGGATTTGAATCGATAACTGAATCCCTGTGCTAATGTGGTATGGCAACTCGAACTGATGTACGTACGAATTTGCACGTTGTTACTGACTGACTAGTAAAATTGGTGTTGTATGGTACCAGTTCATTGAGTTATATTGTGTACTAGTACGTTTGGTTGGATGTAGCCTGATTATCAATTATGATTACGGAAATAGTTAGAACTGGTGGTTGGTGACACATAGCGCTTAACATACTAAACATGGTAGTTTTAATCTATTCGTTTTTCATCACGTTACTTTTTCTATAACTGTACCTTTGATTCATTCTTGATTTCGTCTCGTTAGTTTTAACTGACTAACCTACTTATCTTAAGAACGTTCAGCAAATCTAATCGGTGTTGTCACTGGTTATGATCCATGGGTTTGCAGATTACAATTCTACTTTATCAATCAATATCGATGCATTTGATTTGCTAGTTAAATTTAAGCCATAATCTTATTCATACTGAAGTCTAAATAAGCTCTATGCTATACTCCTTACATTTCATAAATACCTGACTACTAGTTGTATTTCCGTGGTGTTTTTTTCGAAATTCACTTTAGATTTTCACCAGTTCCGAACCTTCATCTAATCCTCTTGTTTATGCTCAACAAATTCTTCCATCATTAATTAACGAACGTGGTTCAGTGAGTTTTCAGTTATTGTCTTCCATATTGGCTCATAGTCGTATTGAATGTAATCAAGATTGTCAAAAAAGTATGCTGTTAGATGGATTAAAACAAGCTTTCAGTTCTATAATGTTTTCACCCACTAGTGTGCCTTCAACACCGACAACCAATGAAGTTAATTATGTTGCAGATGCAGTCTACTCTAGAAGTCATTCATCAATGCTACGTGAAAATAAAGAACAACCAAACACTGGATGTACAGTTCCTGTACGTAGACACTTGTCTTGTGTTGGATTTACGGATAGTTTAAGTCCTGTATCATTGATGGACAGTCCAACACATAATTTAAGTGAAGCTCATAATATATTTCCACGTCCTTCGGAATCAGGTCCATACTTTTCTGAAAGTTGTCCGAGTCATATAAATGTTGACCATGTGAGTTACTATTGTTCTTACTTAATTTTTATTTATAATGTGTCGTTTCTCGCCTGTATATTCTATGAATACTTGATCACCTCTAGATGGGATTTTAAGTGCATACGTCCACGACCTTTGTTATGTTGCTTTTTTGGTTGGTTATGTGCACACTATTCATGCTAAAATTATGGCGATGTCGTAGCGCTACTCACGAGAAATGTTCATTTCGCTAATATGATACTTGAAAAATATTACCCTGAATTTAAAAATTGTTCTTTTGGAAATGTGTCGCTTCATTTGTCTATTCAAACTAATGTAACTCAAAAATGCGACTGTCATCAATTAATAAAAGTTTCATTTAGTTGTAATTTTTAAACCATAAGTGAAAACTTAAATCTCGCTCATCATAATTGCGTTCTTACCAGCTGTTACTCAAGGTCACATCGAATCACTGTGTAATTCTCCATGAATCTCTTATCATTTTATCAATATGAGGCAGTAGGTAAAGTCTTCGTTGTTTATTCACCTTTATAGCTCATCGATGGCTAGAGTAGAGAATAATTCGAGGTAGTCTAAATTAAATTGCTAATCAATGTATTAATTATATCGTGTAGTCGTATTGCTCAATAGCTACACGGGACATGATCAAATAAGAATATCCCCTAAATTACGCCTAATAGTGTTTTTTTGATTAGTATTTAACAATAAAAGAATTATGTTTATTTAGTTAACGGCCATTAGCATAAATATCAGTAACACGACAGTTACTGAATTCAGTTACAAAATACAAAATTTTGTTAATTATTTGCATGTTGCTCTTCACCGAATCGCTCTTCAAATGAATAAAATATTTCCTTGTATTATTCCTTATCCATTTCAGGCTAAGGAATTGCAAACGACCTCCTTATCATACCCCAGTGGTAGTGCAGAAATGCTTCATCATGTATATTTCCCACCCAGGAGTCAAGAATCTAAGTCTGGAGAGTTTCTTAAGCCGGAAACTTCTCACACAGTTGAACAAGGGTACACCATTCAGTTGAACACCTCAACCAATGAAGCTTCAATGAAAACAAATGTTGAAACAAGTAAAACATTGAAATTTCAAGTTAACTGTAATTCTTTCGTTTCACAACCTCGAAAGTTGGATTACAGAGATTCAATCAGTGGCATACCTTTACGTGTTGGCTTACCACCATCAACTACTAGTGGACGTATCGATGTTCGTAAATGTCGTAAAGTTTACGGGATTGAAAATCGAGATCAATGGTGTAATCAATGTAAATGGAAAAAAGCGTGTCGACGTTTTCCAAATCCATGCTCAGTGTCTAAACATGCTCAAGGACTAAGTAACCGTAATCTCCCAGCGGAAAAATGTAGTCGACAACCTCTTGAATCTAATGTAACTGAAATGTGTGTTATTTGTTCACCAGCATGCTCATCTGATATAAGTCTCCCACATATGACTTCTCCAAGTAGTTGGTCAATTTCAAGTTCTATCTATGGAAAATTATCGGATAATCCAACTGTTCCTTATAAAAATTTAACTGGTCAATAAATATATATATATATATATATATATATATATATATATATATATATATATATATATATATATATATATATATAACTAGAGTATTTTTTTTAAGAATATTCTGAGCATCCCTTAATCTAACTACCTTATAATGCAAATTTAATTCTCTGAGTAATTTTTCGATCTTCGTTGTATTATCTACTTTTTTTTCTCAATAATCATCAGTAATAATATCATCACTTATTTTTGCACGATCTCTAAACTGAATTAAAACAAATCCACAAAAATACACATTCATTCATATTATGTAAATGAATAAAACAACCGGTTCATTTCATTGGTTCTATATATATGCACACACATACATGTGTAGATCCATCTAACCATATCACATGTGCCATTATGGTTGTTACTGCTTTTGTTTTAATACAAGCGTTTTTAATCATCGTTTCCATTTATAATTCCTTATCACATTGATTCATAATTTTTTATTTAAGGAGTTCGAATAAAATCTCTATTCAGAGAGAAGTGCTAGTCTGCACAAATATTTTCATCTAATATACTGTGCATTTCAGCTATAAACTATTCCATGAATTTATTCATCATCCTATGCATATTGTCATCATTTATTTTTCTTTACTGTCTTATTAAAGTACTTTGTTTTGATTTCTTGTTTTGTTTAATGGAAAAATCATTGGAATACTACCGTCATCATAATTATTGTTGTTAGCATGTTGTTGTCCCTATCTCCATCACTATTTCACTCTTTCTAATCATATTTGTAAACACCGGTTTTTCTTTTCACATTCCATTGGAATTTATCTGTTCTGGTCTCGTTTCTATCCTGAAATTGTGGTTATAATTGGTAAAATGAAACAAAGTCTCGTTTAGTTCCCACCTAACATACATTTGTATACAAACACGGTGAGGGCTATATATTTCAATCCAGTCAAATTGATCAATTATCTATCTAATACCACGTTTATTATTTTTTACTTTCATTTCTCTCGTTTCTTTTCTCAAAAGCCAAAGATATTACCTTCCTTTATCCTCTTTTTATATGCTCACTCAATCACCTATGTCGAACATACCGGTTTTACATATGTCACTTTCATTCTTTAACTATTATTTTTATTATTATTATTTCCATCGCTTCTTTTTTTTCTCAATCGAACAAATTATACGGGGGATCTATTTTTTTCAAACTTTATTTTATGTTTATTGTTGTTATCATTGTTATTTTACTTACATATATATGATGAATTGTCATTGACACTATACATAGCGCAGATAAACTTTTCCTGGTGAAAAACACACAAATTGATGAGCATAATTGTTATTGTCATTTTTGGGCAATCAGTTATCTATCTATATACATATATGTATACGCAAACAGATTTGAATAAATCACTATCATAATTCTACTTGAGATATGCCTATTAGTTTGTTTTTTTTGTTCATTTCCTTGTTATCTTTACACTTGTTCTTTATTTGTGCTCATTTATTGTCTTCTTCCATCATTACCATTGTCTTTCATTTCCTAAGATATAATAATTTGTCTAGAATTATGTATGTATTCTTAATTTCTTTTGTTCGTTGTTTTTTTTAAAAAAAAAGAAAATTTCAACATGAAAAATAAGGATTTATTATTCAGAGCATGAATTTTAGTTTTCTAACATATTTTGTCATTTATCATGCATTTCATTCCTGTGTATTATATCATTTTATACACAAATATCCATCTATTCACATGCACTTACATGCATATATACGTATGTTTATATTTCTTCCATAAATAAATACATCATATACATGATATATATATATATATATATATATATATATATATATATATATATATATATATATATATATATATATATATATATATATATATATATATATAATATCTTTGATCCACGGCTCAATTTCATAGATAAACAAATAACAATACAAAGAAATGAAACTTCAATCATATTTGATTAATTTGGTTATTTTTTCTTTTTCTTGTTCAGGGTCTCATTGATTTCATTGTGTCTATTTGACTAAGTGATGTTCAATTATTTCTTAAAATTTTTATTGCTTTTTTCGACAATGATTTGTTATTAGCTAGTAAATCAGCTGTCTTCCTTGATTAAATTGAATCTTGTCGAAAAGTATTGTGTAATTGATGATGAATACATACATACAAACACACACGCGTACATTTATATACATACGTGCACAATTAGTGTGCATGTTTATGTATTTCAAAGAAAAGGTCTAGACAAAGTCTGTGATAAGAAAGTTTCTTCAAGTCTTCCTTCATTTAAATTGCATGTTTCGTATATTCTTTTTGTTTGCTTTCTCTTGTTTATATTTTACATAATATTTCACAGATAAAACTTGAATGTTGATGTCATTTTTAATAATACTACTATTACCACCAACAATAATATTATCTAATAAATGTTGATTCAATAGTTGAATTCATGAGTCGATTAAAATTAAACCACCTTGGAAAACCTGGAAGCACTAGACGGCCGTTTCGTCCTAGTATGGGATCCTTCAACAGTGCACATCCTAAAGATCTAATGTTATCTGGTTTTCTAACAGTGTACTAATGATAATGAATAGATTGACATCAACTAAAGAACATTGGAAAATATTGAATAGCTGTTGTGTTCGAAAGTAACATAAAAAAGAATATCTGACAGGTTCTGTTAATTTTCGGAGAGATTTAAAAATCGGTAGGTTTTCTCTGTTCATATAGAGATTTTATTTGTGAGGATTGCTCAATTCAAACCGGTATCATTTGAAAAACAATAAATAGCTACGTTGTTTGCGTAGCGTAGGTGGTTTGAAGAAATTGTAGACTTTTGTGGCTTACAAAACTAGCTTACATTCGTTAGACAACCATTGAGAACCAGGGAGTACCGAACAGCTGCTTCATTGTAGTATGCGACTTCTAATTTCGAGAGGAAATTAATGAAGTTCTAGAGAGGAGTGACTAGCAGAGTCCATTCACGTCAGGTGTGAGGCACTTTGCAAAGGTATTGGAGGGTGGTTACGCAGTATTGCAAATTGGTTGGAGTGAAAAATCCAAACGACTAGGTGCTGATTCAGTGGTCCACATATTGGCAACAAGGTCTAATGGACCTGAGTTCTATCCCCAATGAATCCTTGATACACACCACCGATAAGAATTTTACTAGGACGAAACGGCTGTCCAATTGTTCGTCGTTCTCAATACTTGTCTAGGTAGTCTCAGTTCATGATGTGACCTACAAAATATATCACGAAATCGAGAGCTAGATAAACAATACAGTTGGCTAAACTTGTTGAAAAGCATATGATGAACAACTGTCTACTTCAAGATGAATGAGAATCTAATAATGATATTGAATTTCTATCCTCTGGTTATTATTATGTGAAAATATTTTAAGTTCTCCTTGGATTAGTAAGCGGAAGTAGTTCAATTTAAAGAACTTATGCATCCTGGGTTCACTATTCTTTTTTAAGTAGATAGCCATTGAGACGATAAAGTACTGGATAACTTTCGTTCTATTAATAAACACCTTAGTAACCCATCTCTAGCGACCCTTTTTGTACATCGAACTTAACTTCTTTAGTCATCACAGAGATTACTTCATGCGCTCATAAGAATTAATCTTATAGTTGTATTCTAATGGTCATCATTTATCAACAAAATACTGAGAATCTTACTTTAGTTCAGTTACGAGTGAGAATATTGTTATTAGAACGGAGTTTCAAAGATTATCCAACTTGAAAATAGCTTGTATCTCAAGATGATTATTCTTTTAATAAGCTTTATATTATTGAAACAATCAACTTACGTCCAAGCATTCATTTAATAGTTATCTTTAACATCATTCAAATTGTAATGCAATGGGAAAATTTTCGATGTAAAGAATCCCGTCGGAAATCCATCTTAGATTTGTTTTTCGGTACATTTCCTGATAATCTGTGAACATTAAATTAAGCTACTATTGATTGAAGATCCCAGAAACATCCTCTTAATGTAAAACTGATTTCATAAGTATGTATTAAGGATAATATTAATTTAATTTAAATATAATCCATTTGACTTTTTCTTTCAAAGAGTAATTAAAGATTAATACAAGTGCAATGTTTGACGTATATATATTTTATTGAGAATGACTTATCGACTAATCCTCTATGTATCCGTTTACGTTAGTCTACTTACTACCCAGATATTTTTGAAATTCTATTTATAAAGTAAGTTAATTTTAAAATTTACAGTATAGATAAAAGTAGTGTAGTTTCGCAAAAGGTTTACTGACATGCATGCCCCTATTCTTTTGCCTACTTAGATTCACAGTTTCAATATGATTTCATAAATCTTATCCTGCCAACTGATTGTTTTCCTTCAAACCATCTATTGCTATTAATTTGATTCTTTTTTTTTAAATTTGTATGGAGATTGAAGTATTTTCACAGTTGAAATCACAAGTCAATCTAAGTTAGATCATCGCCGAAAACCTGGAAGGCCGTTATGTCTTAGCATGGAATTCCTCAGCAGTAGACATCCACAATTCCATTTATCTTATTAATCTCATCTCCTTGTACTCATGTTGTACAATAGGCTGGATTGATGTACAATTGTCTAGATGTTAGGTTGGTGTGCTTGATTATCTAGAAAATGTGATTTCTTTTTCTCTAAATATTGCATGTAGACGCCCAACTTCGAGATCAACAAATAGAACTTCTTAAGGATTGGTCGTGCACAGATCAATTCGCGACACTACGGATCATCATTGAACAATCAATTGAATAGAACTAGTCACTATACATCAACTTCCTTGACAATGTGGATAAGAGAACCTTATGAAACCTTCTTCAACAATATGGTGTGAGTAGCTGAGAAAATCGTCAACATCATCCGGAATTCATATGAAGGACCATACTGAAACGTCATGCATGGAGGACAGCTGACAGACACACTCCAAATGAAGACCGGTGTCAGACAAGAATACTTACTCACAACCTTCCTCTTTCTTCTG